AAAAAAAACCCCCCCCCCCCCCCCCCCCCCCCCCCCCCCCCCCTCCAAAGGGAGAATACCCAATCCCTAACGTCAGAAATGACGCTGAAACGGAAAGTATTTCCACTTTCTGAAGTAAAACTGAGGGTGGCATCAATTATTGCGTTATACATTCAGTCACGTTTTGGCGCCCCGGGTTAATCTTCGCCACAGTGCAAGGGCACATGTGGCACATGCCTAAGGCTGGTCCTGGCTGGTGGTCCCCATATGTGACAGAGGAGAGGAAACGAGAGGAATAAATGCAAGGTTGTTCTCACTACAGAAACCAACGACAAGTATATGCACTTACATACCAATGTATGTCCTTTATATATATACTGTAGTTAGATGCATGTTCACATATCAACACAATTCCATGCGCGTACGTTAATTCTGAAGCTGTTACGCGTGAAACATTCACGTCTTCCTAATTAAGAATAATCTATTTCTTTCCCATAGCATTCAAATGAGACACAGTTGGAAATTTAAACAGCCAAATTTCGGATCAATAATATTGGGTTCGTCCCGTCGACTCCCCCTCCCCCCTCCAGAATTTTCCTATATACCGATATTCGGAGAGTTATGTTCCATAATATTCAAATGAGACTCGCCGTGCGAATTTTGGACCGTCCGGTATCAGATGAGGTGTCCGATCCATCCACAAAGATCTTCAACTTCCCTTTATTTCTCTTAATAGTATGTTTCAATGAGCTCTGTTTCAAAGATTTCGGAAAGGATAACGTCAGAATTTCTAACGCTTTGGATCAGTAACAAGTCGTTCTGTCACCAGGGAATCCCAAATTGCACGTATGAAAATTTTCAGCGAGTTCCGCCCCGTAGCATTCAAGTGAGACATGCCGCTCGAATTTCGAGCACCCGGGTATTGGATGGAGATTATGGAATGAATTTGAGTCGTGCACGGAATGCAGATCGGCTCGATTGGACCAACTCAAACGATCGGGCGTGCAACTAGGTTGGCGATCAAGTTTTCGGTCTGGTCCAGTGTCTTTTTCTCCATCCGCTCGCAGCTACTGGCAAAAAAGACACCTCTTTTCGTCAGTGCTTGACACGATTACGTCATTAAATGACGTCACTCTCGGGCAAGCAGTGCCAGCAGAACGCAATGAACTATGAGAGCGCTGAACAGGCCCGCCGGAATGCGACGTCGCGGGATGTTGGAAGCGTCAGCAGAAGCACTTAGAAAAAAAAGACGTACCCAGAGATCTGTAGCGTAGAGGCCTAAGAGGGCTGCGGGCAGACGTGATCGGCCCGACACGACCCGCGGGTCGGGTCGTTCCTCACAAGAGGTTGCGGGTTAAACTGGAGGCGCACGGGATCCAGGGTAGGACGAGTGAGTGGATCAGTAGCTGGTTGGCAGGACGAGAGCAACGGGTGATGATAAATGGGGAAGCGTCGGAGGAGGTCGGAGTCGCAAGCGGCGTCCCTCAAGGCTCGGTCCTTGGACCGCTTCTGTTTTTGGTCTACATAAACGATTTGGATCTCGGCGTAGAGGGTAAGATAAGTANAAAACAAAACAAAACAAAAATATATAGCTTTAAGAGGGTTAGGCCTACCCTAAAATTAAGGAACGCACGACCTCGACACGTGATATCGAAATGGGCGAAATCGCCTCTTGATATCACTAACTCTCCTGACTCCTGGGTCCGTAAAGCTCGGTAAGGCGGTCGAGTTTCGGGTCGGGTGGGGCCAGGATTCGAATCGGGTCGATCGGGTCGGATAAGGATAAAAGCACCCACGCAGGCTTCTGGCGGGCGGGAGGACAAACAGAGAGACAGACAAACATAGGCTATTATTATATAGATAGATAGCTCATTTTGCAGTTGTTGATCAGCGAATCCCCTTTACCTACATTTCAGCCCGTAACCTCTTGTGAGGAACAGTGTTGATAGAATGCCGTTTATGAAGATGGGTGCACTGGAGTCGAGTCTCTTCATCGAGTGAAGCAATAACAAATACGACACTTCATGGAGTATGTGGACTGGCGAGGCGAGAGATAGTTTCCGTCTGTCACCCGTGGAAGATTGAATGACGCTCTTCCCATTGTGGAGTTCGTTGGCGAACTCATTCAAGAGTTGACGCTTATTCGAGAGATAACCGACCCTCACCGTCAGTGGGAAGAAGACGAGTACCATCAGAACAAAAATTGTATCATAATTAAAACTCGTACACACAAAGAAACTGGGGAAATCCGTGACTTTTGCATACAGAAGGAAGTTTCCACGGACCGTTAGTGGCATCTGTGCCCGGAAACTTCGAGGAAAATGGAAAATTTCCGCGTGAAATGGAGCATAGACATTCTTTTTAGGAAGGGTCTCGTAGGTCGAGTGGGCTTGTCCAACGTGAGAAGTCCTGCGGGTGAAGGAGACTCAAGACTTCACTTCGTCCTGCGTCAATTCGTTCTCGAATCTCGGTGCTGAGGGAAGCAGTGAGCCCTGCAACTCCAGCACTTACCACATACCTGTCTTTAGGCAAGAAGGAACATCGCTTGCAGCAGCTTAAAATGAAATGTGCCTAAATACAGCCTGGAGAGTCATAAGCGGTCATAACGCAGTTGGAATTCTCAGCGCAGCTGAACGCACCTATGCAATACGCATGCGCAATCAAAAGATGAATTTTGACAAAATCAGACCTCTTACAAAGGTCTAGCCATTTCTTTCTGTGCTTTTGCGATGGTAAGGCCGAGTTCATACTCGTGCGGTATAGCATGTACAGCAACGGCAAAATCCAATCCAACACGGGCATGTTCCATAGGCGGCGATTCGTTGAGAAATTTGGTGGGGCTCAGAGACATTACTCCAAGTATTCCTTATTCTTCCGCCAAGTTTTTTTTTTTTCTGGGGGGGGGGGGGGCTCGAGCCCTCTGAGCCCCTTGGAATCGCCGCCTATGGGCCATGTTGTATGCACAGCATGCAGTTGCAGCATCCAGCATGCTGTCCAGCACGAGTATGAACTCAGCCTAAGACTTAGGTCTCTCTCTGGTTCTCCACAGCACTCAAAGCATTATATCGGTTTCCTTTCAACTAAACGAATGCGCTTGGGCTATACGTGGACGTTTTCCAACTATTTTGCATCGCTTTGAATGATAATATTCATAGGGCATTTCTGACATTGTAGAATGATCCGACTGAGAAGAATGTGAAGTAATGGCCGTGCATGTCTTGTGCGCCACCACACATGGTGGCGCACAAGACATGCACGACATACCCCCGAGCTCTGGTATTAATGCGTTAGCCAACCTCCCCCTTCCCTCCGCTCTAGGAGGAGTTTCTAGTCCCCCTCTGTTCCTCTTAGCCACCCATAGGCGAAACCCTGGCTACGCCACTGTACGAGTAGAGGTCGTCCTATACAGTGGCATAGCCAGGATTTCGCCAATTTGACGTTTTCTCAGGGCCTCATTTGCCCTCAGGTGGCCTCTGGGCCACTTTCTCACCTTTATATTAATTTCCATCCCATCCGCTTCACTTAACAACCAATCTCCCGAATTTATTCGTAATTCTGCATTCTCGTTTTGCTGGATTGCAGAACAAAACACATGAGACACATGTGAAAATGTCGACGGTGTCACACTGTCACTTGCAGTTGCTTTGTTTTCGGCATAAATGGTTGACCTATGCAATGGGAGAAAATCCTGCTGCGCAAATGTGCTTAGGTGTGCTCCGAGACTAGCTTCCTTCACTCCTGCTTATGGGCTTCACTCCTCCTCTCGTCTCCACGTACCTTGCGCTGAAAGGCATTCATCTTTCTGAGCTCAGAATCTTAGCTTTGGTTTTTTTTTTACTGACCACTTCCCGTAATACCCTCTTGCAGAGGGGCAGCAATGTGCCAGTACTTGTGCTAGTGGCGTGCCCAAGGGTTATGGGGGTAATACCCCCCTCCTCCATTTTACCTTAAATTCTCAAAAAAAAAAAATAAATTTGACCATAAATTTGGGCTACCAATTTTTCATGTCAACCCCCTCCCCCCCTCCATTTGGATTTTCTGGGCACGCAACTGACTTGTGCAGAATGAATCCTCGCAGGATGGCTGGAAGCCCTGCAGTTTATGCATATACGTGCACTTGCGAATCACGAGACTTCAGACCAGAAGCACGACATGCACAACAAAAGTCAGACATCTCAGGAAGGTGGGGGATCTTCTTGATTTCTGAGCTCAGAATCTGAGTTCTTGACGCCACACTTGCAATTGGAACGATTTAAAAAAAAAACTTTACAATCTTCAGATTTTGAACTCAGAAAAGCGAATGGTATGCTGCTTTGGAGCTGATGTGCGCTTAGCCCACTCCCCCCCCCTCCCCCATAGGTGTTTGTCATCGTCAATTGGGCACACTTCTCGAGATTTCCAGGAAAGGACAAGGCCTTCCTTACTTGGTGAGAGGGTCTGGTACTACACGTAGTATTACTAGAATATTATAATTATTACAGGCATCATCAGAAGTACACAGGTGTGCATTCTGGATTTGTCGAAATTATCCCGGGTTTGAATGTTTGCGTTGATAGATGGTGCCGCTGAGGCCTCTACCTAGCCGAACGCAGCTAATATGGCATCCTACAGGTTAAACCTCTATTATGTAGACGCATTCACACGGGGCTAGGCTGCGGCGTGTGTCGGCATAGTTTCAGCAGCGATTGATTTGTTTTCTTACCTCGCATATAGTTTTCTGCATTGATTTTGACAGTAGTTTGCTCATAACTATCATTGGGTTTATGATTTTCTGGCGTTCTTCCATGACAGACTCGCCATAAATTACCTCTGTAGATGACGCTTGCTGCATGCTACAGTGCTTTCCTTTCGATTCGTTGCTTTGCTTACGACGATCCTTTAGACATTAAGAAAATACGACCCATCGAGTAATTATGGACTCATGCCGAAAGTGGTACGACTCGACCTTATGATTAAGCTGCTGTAGGTGCAGCTGGTTTTCCACGTGTCGCTAGATATTAATAGCAACCCTCGCAGGATATTACAGCAGTGCCGAGATATGTTGAAGGAAGCGGCGCAAAAACCCCATCCAAAATCACTTTGGAGTTTGAACAGTTCAACCCCCAATGCTAATAAAGGTGCCACCAGGTGATCATATTGTGCCCAGCTCTAATGATAAATTATTGCAGTTCATACTTCATAATTGCCTGGGCCTAGTGGTCGTAATGACTTCATATAAGTCTATTGACCTAGATAGACCACTGCCCATAGTCATGTTCCTGTGTCTTCAGGATACTCTAAGGCTTGAAATAAGTAATTCATATCATTATAGATTTGGTCTATCATTAGTTGGTGACTATGAATAAAAAATGTTTCACTTTGGGCTCTAATTAGCTGAAACACTCAGTCGACAATATGTAACTGATATTAAAACCATTTCTTACTGGTGGGTTCATCCATTTTACCTCTTGGGCTAACAAACTCATGAATATCTTCTGGGAAAACTGTTTAGCCCTGGCTGCTCTTTTTCATGGTTTCCTTCCCATCCTGTCTTCATTCTACAAAATCTATATTCATGATTGTTCTGGTAGAATGTGATGGACAAGCAAGCCATCTAGGTGGTTGTTGATGATAGGTTGTCTTTAAGCACTTTATTGCCTAAAAGAAGGGACACTATTGGGGTTGCAGGATTCATCTGGTCACGGTTAAGCGTGTACCCCCTAGGAATATTGTGTTGCTCCTTAAGTTTGGCCAGGTTAGGTTAGGATGGGGTGGGGCTGGGTTGTGTGATGTGGTATGGTGTGTATTATATATTAAAGGAATTTCAATTGATGTAGCATGTTTCCCATTGAATTCATCTGGAAACATTGAAGACTGGGAGTGCAATTTTGTTAGGGGGTACACGCTTAACCGTTACCAGTCCATCTGAGAGTGGAAGTAGCTCTCACAGGGGATCTCATGTAACCTCCTCAAATGAGAGTTTTAACTTTTCATTCTTAAGTAGCATCCAGTTAATGTCACTTTGCAAGTTATTGGCAACTATTTTCACAATGCATTGACAGAAATAAATATGGTGCTGTTTTCATGATTCTGTAACTTGGTCAGATACATATAAAGGAATCTTTAGATATATATACTCAAAGTCATTAATCTGCTTTGCCATACCTTTTTGATTCTCACCTGTAAACCAAGAGAAATTTTGAATGACAGTGGAAATGGAATCATTTCATCTCTTACTGACCTCAAAATATGAAGGTGCTATGATATGCATTAATATTTTGTGTATATACTATGGCTCAATATCATAGATTTTCAGTTAATGATAGTGGGGTAGAGATGGATGACAGTCGCAATGAAGAAAGTTTGGTGGGGGGGTGCTTCAGCACCTGAGCCCCTCCTCTTTGCAAGCACCACTGAGTGTATTCAGCTACAAGTTGCCAAATACCATGGTGTATGGTTAGATAATACCCTGAGCTGGAAAGACCATATTCTGAAAGTAACAGAAAGTGATGCAGTAAGCAATCAGGTAATTTATGAAGTGAGAGATTCCTTGACAAAATATGTTCCTTGAATGTATTTTGCAGGAAAACATGCAGACAACAAAATATTGACTGTTGTGCACCAATTTAGGGCAAAGCATTTCAATCATGTTTGAAGAAATAAAAAATGATGCAAAAGAGAGAATATTGAGTAATCAATCATTTGGACAAGGAAAGCACTAATGAATACTTAGGAAACTGAGAAATTTGACAAGTAAATCTTTGCTAGAACATGGAAGATGGTAACATTTATCACTGTGTGTCCTGGCTTACCAAGAATTGTAACCATTTTATTTATCATGCAACATTTTTTTAAACTATAGAGTAATTCATATTATTGCAAGAACTCATGTAAATGAGTTTTCATTTGAAAAAAAATTTGATCAAGAATTCATGTAATTTGCAATATTAACTTTGATAAGATCTTTGCACAATCACTGGATATAGGATCAATAATTCAGGGAAAAAGACATCACTGCATTTTCCTTTTATTTTTCTGTTGTTGATAGTCTAGATGAGTATTTCAACCTGTGGTGACCATGGGTGAACCATCAGGTTCTTTGGGAGCCAAAAAATTGGTCATTATGGAATTGTGTTAATACTCTTTTTCTTTCATTTGTGTGTATTGTGTTTAGTTTAGTTGTGTCTCCATTAAAAGTTTTTTTTCTGATCTTTTTGTTTGTCTCTTCTATCCCCTTCATATGTGCAGCCTGTCATTTTTTAAATTTAATTATTGTTATTATTTTGTATTTCTTAAATATATATTCTATCTGAAATGAAGATCTATCTTACTGTAGGCCAACTATAATGTTAAAATGCTTCTGAAGGCAAGAAACCCAGTTAATGAGCTCATTTGATCTTTTTATTACCTAGTTTTAGCTCTTCCACTTGTACTTAAGAAATAGGAAGATTGGACAGTGTTTGATTGGACACCACTCATGATAAATCATTGTCTTCTCAAATCCATGAATCTTCACAGGTGACCTCTTGCTATGGTTCTTGGCTACTGTACCAAGTTGAGGTGACAATTTAGGACATGGCTCTGCAGGTTCTGACCAATGGACTGGAAGGTGTTTCCAGTCAGGAGGGAATGCATTCCGCCATCACACTTGACCGGCTGGAACGATCATCTCACTTAGACAGAGAGAACAACAAAACATCTAGCCATCCTGATAGAAGTGAGCATAAGGATGGTGAGAAGCCAAGAGACAGAGAGAAGACCAAAGATAAGGAGAAACATCGTGAGCACAAGAAGAAACACAAAGAGAAGCATAAGGAAAAAGGCAAAGATCGAGAAAAACACAAGGAAAAAAGTAAGCACAAGGACAAGCACCGAGATAAGGAGAGAAAGGAGGGCAAGAACAAGAACAAAGAGAAGCACCGTGAAAAGGAGAAGTATCAATCAACTGAATCTGAGGAAGATGGAGCCATTTCATTTGACGATGCACACGAAAATTCAACAGTTAAGATAGAGACCATTGACACCTCCACCACAAAGGAAGAAGTTCCTATTTATTCTAGATCTGAACCAGAAAGTAGTGAAGATGAATCTGCTCTCTATATTGACCGTTCATTGGAAATAAAAGATGAAACCCTTAGTGATGATGAGCCCTCAACTCCTCCACCCAATAAGCGAAAGAAAAAGACAGAGTCAGATGATGACTGGGAGCAGGAAGATGAAGATAATGATTACCATCCTTCAAAGAAAGCCCGTAAATCTGGCAGCACAGGGAAAAAGCGAAAGAAGAAGTTAGAAGAAGAGAGTGATGATGATTTCAAGGGAAAGACAAAGGCAACCAAGAAAGCCAAGGTGAAGAGAGAGGAAGTCAAGCAAGAAACCCCCCAATCACCAAGTAAAAAAAGGAAGAAGGAGGAGGAAGAACAGGAAGTATGGAAATGGTGGGAAGAAGAGAAACGTGATGATGGTGTCAAGTGGAAATTCCTGCAACACAAAGGCCCTGTTTTTGCCCCTGATTATGAGCCACTGCCTGATAATGTGAGATTTTATTATGATAAGAAGCCAATGAAGCTATCTCTTCCAACAGAGGAGGTTGCAACTTTCTATGCCAAGATGTTAACTCATGACTATACGACAAAGGATATCTTCAACAAGAACTTCATGACAGACTGGAGGAAAGTCATGACTGATAAGGAACGGGAAATCATCACTGACCTGAGAAGATGTGATTTCAAGGAGATGAATGATTATTTCACTCAGAAGAGTGAGGAGAGGAAGAGTATGTCAAAGGAGGAGAAGCAGAATTTGAAGGAGCAGAATGAGGCCATTGTCAAGGAATATGGCTTCTGTCTCATTGATGGTCACCAGGAACGTATTGGGAACTTCAGAATTGAACCTCCTGGTCTATTTCGTGGTCGAGGGGAACACCCCAAGCAGGGAAAACTCAAGGCCCGCATCATGCCAGAAGATGTAATTATTAATTGCAGCAAAGATTCCAAGATCCCACAACCACCACCAGGTCACAAATGGAAGGAAGTCCGCCATGACCCCAGTGTGACCTGGCTGGCCAGCTGGACTGAGAACATACAAGGACAGATTAAGTATGTTATGCTAAACCCTTCATCCAAATTGAAGGCAGAGAAGGATTGGCAGAAGTATGAGACTGCACGAAGGCTCCACAAAGGCATCGATAAGATTCGTCGGGATTACTGGAATGACATGAAGAGCAAGGAGATGCGGATCCGACAGAGAGCAGTGGCGATGTACCTGATTGACAAACTGGCTCTTCGAGCTGGAAATGAAAAAGAGGAAGGGGAAACAGCTGATACTGTAGGCTGCTGTTCCTTGCGTTTTGAGCATATCACCCTTGCAGAAGAGCGTGATGGTAAGAAGTATGTTGTGACTTTTGACTTTCTTGGGAAAGATTCCATTCGGTATCTGAATGAGGTCTCTGTTGAGAAGAGAGTCTTCAAGAACCTTCAACTCTTCATGGAAGACAAACAGGAAGGAGATGACCTATTTGATCGTCTCAACACAGCCATTCTCAACAAGCATTTGAACAGCCTGATGGAAGGGCTGACTGCAAAGGTATTCCGAACGTATAATGCATCTCGAACTCTGCAGGAACAACTGGACCAATTGACAGACCCTAACGACTCTGTCACCAACAAGATATTGGCTTACAACCGAGCAAACCGAGCTGTGGCAATCCTTTGCAACCATCAACGTTCTGCCCCAAAAAGCCATGCAAAGTCAATGGAGAATCTTGCAAATAAGATTCAAGCTAAGAAAGAAGCAGTGAAAGAGGCTGAGAAGGAACTGAAGAATGCCAAGAAGGCCTACAAGGATTCCAGAGCTCAGAAGGATAAAGTCGTGCTGGATAAGAAGGAGAAAGCTCTTGAGAGGCTGAAAGAACAGCTACACAAACTTAATGTCCAGGCAATGGACAAAGAAGAAGGAAAGGAGATTGCCCTTGGAACATCCAAACTCAATTATTTGGATCCAAGAATCAGTGTTGCCTGGTGTAAGAAACACAATGTCCCCATTGAGAAGGTTTACAACAAGACCCAGAGACAGAAATTCCGATGGGCCATAGACATGGCTGGACCTGATTTCCACTTTTGATGAACTCATCTCATCTATTTGCTTTTTGTTCTTTTCAATTTCAATACAGTTCATTTTTGTCCCTCCTCTGAGGGTGTTTGCTCGTCCTTGTGTTGTAGACGACTCCAGCGACCCGTTCTTGTGATGTAAAATGTGATGTATATTTATGATGTAGTTTTTGTAGGTTTTCTTCATGCATCCATTATTACGATGTTTGTGTCCTCTCCTGATCTCCATTCCAGGATGGTTGCATGAAATCCAGCAATCGTGACGTCAGGGTGAAGGCTCCTAGTCTTCAAATAATACAGGATGTCCTGGAATCCACCTTACAACTTAATCAAATTTCAATTTTGATGTGCTGGAATAGCTTTCCTTGCACCATTAGAAAACCCATCCTTCAATTTTTTTTTCCTGCAGCAGATGATGACTGGAATGAGTAAAAGCTGGTCTTCCACGAGTTGAGAAAAAAGTATTTGGATTTGAAATGATCAATTGGTTTCTTCTCATACTTAACTGTATTTCCTTTAGTTGGGACTTGTTTTCCCAGGTTTTTTCCAAGTTAAAATGCATAAAAATTTAAAAAAAGAAGGGAAAGCTCAAATTTTGCCTTACACAAGGCCTATATGCATTCAGTAACTTGAAGATTTTAGAAGAGTGGCAATTTTTGCAATTCCTACTTACTAGGAAGGGGCCTTTGCTTGCCCTCCAACATTGAGTAGAATGCACGACATTCATGAAGGCCATGCTAAGCTGTTTACCCAAGACATTTTATGCCTTTCTTTAGAAAATTCCAAGTATGTTCTTCAGCATGACAAAATGCTCTCTGTGATGCCCTATTATCAACAGTTTGATAAATTTCCATTTTCAAATTGGTAAAGTGAATTCTTGGACACCCTGTATCCTGTATTTGTTTTTTTAGCAGTTTTTTCCAGGTGATGTTGGGCATAATCAGCAATTCACGGTGATTCCATCATTTTGAAGTGCATCATGCCATTTTTTGTTGGTTTCTTTTTCTCAAGTTGCATTATCTGTGAGCTGTAATTTCTTGCATTGGATTATTTTGTGTTATCCATGGGTAACCAAGGTAAATTCAGACAATGATTGAGTTTTGGACAGTTATGAGGCCATGATGAAAGAAGTAGATCTTGGATGGAAAGATGGAAACCTTGTACAGCTGTAGAATAAAGCAAACCACTGTTGTAAGCCTGATTTTGCACTGCTGTATGGGAGAAAATTTTCCTTTCCCATTCCCTCATATTATCTTTTTTTCTCCTTCTCTTGGAGGAACACTTGAAATGGGAAAATTCTTGTGGAAATGTTGTATCTGGTTAATTGTCTTGAATAAAACAACAAAAAATCTTTTAGATCTCTTATAGGTTTGCTATGTTACAAGGAGTGCAATGAATTAAATAAAAAGTGTTAGCTGTGATGAAAAGAATGTGGGCCCCACGTGTCTGTCACTCGGTTCATGGACATCCTCTCTGGCGCATTTTCATCAAGGTGAGAGGACAGTTGCATATGGATGTTATTGGGCAAGATGTAGGATACGAAAGTGCATGTTTTGCTTTCCAGCCTTGTGCAGCTGTGCCCATAGTGACAGTACGGTATGCCAGCAGAGGCCCTGCCAAGAGATTCACCGATCACAAAGATGTCGACCACATTCGCAACATAGGCATCTCGGCCCACATAGACTCTGGGAAGACAACCCTTACAGAGCGAGTCTTGTTCTATACGGGTCGCATTGCCGAAATGCACGAAGTGAGTGGCACTAACTCACTTATATAACCCTCCTTGTTTGCTTCTCATTTGGGGTCAGTGCTCATCTGGCTGGCCATAGGAATGACTTTATGGGTTCATGTTTAAACATTCATGCAATGGGTTTCTTCTTTTTTTTTCCTGCCTTGTTGCACTTCCAAGTTCTGAAGTTTTTTTTTTTAGGTATAGGCTGTTCCAATGATAAACTTTCTGCCACTCAGTTACTTGGATTTGGATGTTCAATACCTAGATTTCATAATTTCATAATGCTCTAGAGATACAACTCATGTAAGAGTTGTGAGCAGTATTGTCCCACCAAAAAAGTGGTATCACTTAGGGGTGTTAAAATCCCCAGTGAAGACTCAAGCATTTAGGCTCAAGGCGCAAGCATTTAAAACCATGCTCTCCAAGAAGAGATTTTACCCTGATCGCAGTTTTTATGTCAGGGTATGAAATGAGCGGGAGCCCCATGGGTCTCTTTCAGCAAATTCCCATCAGTATGCCCCGCTCTTACCGTCCGAAAGAAAAAGTAAAATCTCAACCAGGTCATGATAATTGCGGGTCGGAAACGAGGACCAGAACGGGTTCGAGAATGGGTTCAGCCCGACCGTTTTCGTTCGCAGTCTTGTTCTCGTCGTAATTACGTAATATCTTGGTAAGTAGATAGTTGGGGGCCCAGGAGAGGGGGAATCTAACTTGTCCGCACGTGCCGAAGTTACCGCCGATGTAAAACAAGAGGTAACCCATGGTTTTGTTTTTGCTGCGTGGCGCTTAACTGCACGGCCTATCCAGCGTAATGATCACGTGATCCCACTTGATCATGTCGCGAGTTGAGGAAACCAGCCCTAACGGGAATACTATTCTCCGTTTGCGAATGCAGCTATGAAGACACTTATGACGTTCAGTGGCGTAGCTGGAGGGGAAGGGGGTAGGGCAGAGCAGAAGCCCCCCCCCCCCCAACTATGGTTCAGATGCACCCGCAACCTCTCCATGGCAGGGGAAAAGTTAAGGTAATTCCACCTCTGGCGAAACCCTGGCTACGCCTCTGATGACATTAGGTCCGAAGTTCCCAGTAAATTAAACAATTCTGACGAAGCCAAGATAGTTAGGCTCCCAGATTTCAGATTCAGGGAGCCCAGGTGTCGCATAAGGAAAAATCTCAGTTCATGTGAGTGATTATGTGTTTCCAGAGGGTTTAGATCCCGTATTCATAGACACCATTGTCATGCAAGAGAGGAATGGAGATGCCCTTTACTCTTATACCTATTAATGCTGAAAATGCATGAATTACTTTATAGAAATGTTCTCGACTAGCTCAAACAACTCCATCCTCATTCCAGTTACGTAAAGGGCGTTTCACACTTCGCGTGTCATGCGGCAAGGCTGGGGCAGGTAGGCAGACGCACGCGTGCACACGCATGTCCACTTACATGGAAGGTTTTCACAAAACACAAGGCTTGCGTTTTCAAGATAGCTCATCCCAATTCCATTCGCAAGCCTTGCATTATGTGAAAACATTAGAATATAAGTTGACATGCGTGTGCACGCGTGCGTCTGCCTGCCCAAGCATTGACGCAAAGGATGCATGCCATGCAGTGTGAAATGCCCTCTACAGCAGCGGTTCCCAAACGGTGGGTCGCGACCCACCGGACTTATGAAGGTTCAATGCGAGTAAAAGGAGGTTTGGGAACCACTGTTTTACAGTACTACGATGGTCAAAAACAGTCAGTTAAGAAATGACCTGGCCCTGGGGAAGTGTGACCTCGATGCTCCATAGGTTTAGGAGGCAAACAAGGAAAAATATTTATCTTGAACTAATATCATGTAGTCATTCATGTTTATGAAATACCCTTTTGTGATGAAGATGTGGATCCCATTGTAATTAGGGATGCCCTATGCATTGCCTTAAGCAAGGGCATAAATATGGTGAAGATAGTCATAATATGAAAATGCATATCTTAGTATCAAGCTGAGGATTAATGTTTGTACATTTGTTTATAATTTATTGTATATTTTCTTGAATTTTTACATATATTGACAACATCTGAGCTGTTGTGAATCAATTTTTGACCAACTTAAAATGCATTGATTCAAACATTCACATTTGTGCCAGTATCCCTGAAGAGGTTAATGTTTCTGCTCAAAATAATTCAGATATAATTTTTTTCTGATGTGCTGCATTTTTTATTTTTTCAATTTTGGGTGATACTTGCAGGAATCTACTATCTTTGCTAGTACCTGAAGCCCAATTGATTATAACTGAAGTTAGATAATAGATGGCTCATTTCTATAGTTATGGCACTCATATGCTTCCATGTAAATGGTAGGTAAAAGGGAAAGACAATGTGGGTGCAACCATGGATTCCATGGAACTGGAGAGACAGCGGGGGATCACCATTCAGTCTGCTGCCACCTATACACTCTGGAGAGACTGCAACATCAACATCATTGACACTCCAGGTTTCTTTTTACTTTTCTTCATTACTCTGCAGACACAATGCATGACATTTAGAGAGTCACAGAAAGAAGTTTGTCTCTCCCTGTATTTGTATGAATAGGTCACCCAAGTACCAAGGCCTTTTTTGGCATAACTATCAGAGGCCAGCAGTTAATGTTTAAAGATCATCAGTGTGTATATTTAGTACATCTTAGCAATCCTGTCTAATCTGACATGAAAAGCCATTTTATGATGAGCTTATTAAAATACTAGTTTTTATTACTGAACACTGGCATGTTCCCAGAATACCAGGTAGGCCTACCTATAAAAATTCCATTATGACTGCATCTTTGGTGACTTAACTGATGGATTAATATTTGTATTGCAGGCCACGTGGACTTCACGGTGGAAGTGGAGCGGGCATTGCGTGTCCTTGATGGTGCAGTTCTGGTCCTGTGTGGTGTTGGGGGTGTGCAGAGTCAAACCCTGACTGTGAATCGACAGATGAAGCGATATTCTGTTCCCTGCCTAGCTTTCATCAACAAACTTGATCGCATGGGTGCTAATCCTTATAGGGTTTTGCATCAGATGAGGTAATTGTGGTCAAATCTTCTGCTATGTCTTTATTGCAGCATATAGTATGCTTGGATTAATTTGCATTTGGATGAAGAATTGTTATTTCCCCATTACTTCTAAGTATTTTTTAAGGCCCATTTTGCTCTTCATGAAGGAGTACTTACTTGTGGAATGATTGTTCAAATGTTGTGTATGGCTGATTTCCCTATAGGACAAAACTGAATCATAATGCTGCCTTCGTGAACCTCCCAATTGGGAAGGAAAGCAATCTTCAAGGCATCATTGACATTCTGGATGAAAAGGCTCTTTATTTTGATGGCACCTTTGGGTGAGTCTGCTATGGAGTGTTTTTAAGGACCTTCATCTATGCAGGGACAAATATGCTCTTGATGGGATGTGGTTGGTGTTTCCTCCATCAGTGAGACTGTAAGAGAGGATGAGATACCTGGGGACATGAGGCAAGAGGCAGCTGAAAGGAGACAAGAATTATTGGAAGCCATATCGAATGTTGATGACAAATTGGGAGAGATGTTTCTTGGTATGTCATCCCCTTATTCCAAAGTGCAGTACAACTTCCAGTAAACTGTCTCAAGGTCACAACTTATGATTTCCAAGTTTGTATATTAAAAAAATGTAGTTCGGACATATCATTTGCAAGTATCACTTTCAGGTCATTCTGGATAGTATTTTGTGTGGAGTATTCCATCTGAAATATGACAGCAAAGTTAAAGCTAAAAAAGACTAAGAATTAAAATATGTGAGCATGTCTTGATTCCTTCTGCTCCTCCAAGATTACAATTTATGTTGCTGCAATTACCTGTTGCTCTTGAACTTCAACACAGATATATACCAGACAGGTATATGGATGTATTGGTTTATTGTGAAGTGATCCTGAAGAGAGAACTTCTCTTTTAAATAGGAATTTTGGCATTGACTCATGGTTCATCCTGGAAGATTTTTTATGTATTGAATTGAGTGAGTAAAAAAGTAGTAAGCTTTATTTTGGTGATATATTGCACTTTTAAGCGTCCGTCCTTGATGACATCACTCCCGGTCAGTCATAGATGAAAATGAAGTATCCCAAAATGTTCTGTGCCTGATTCCATACTGTTCAAACATGTAAAGGTCCACTTGAAATGCTTATGCCTTGATTTGCTCACCAAAGTTCATTCACAGGTTTAAAAATTTTTCCCATTCTAGGAATCCACTTTAAAAAATAAATATGAAAATAATTTTCATTATTCCCTTAAATTTTGGTAAAGCAGTTCACTACATCACGAGGAGAAGGATTATGGGTGATGATGTTGAACATTACATTGGCTGGAATAGGCACTAGTGGAATAAATGTTCTAAATGTCAACCATATTCCTCTCTGATGGCATCCACTCTTGGCAGCCATTACAGTGTGTGTAATGTCCCTTATAGGTGGTGATGTTGGACCCATAAACTTTCTCCTCTTGGTGTTGTGAACTGCATTACAAGTTTCAAAACTGTATGATCCATAGATGCTGAGATACACATTTGATTTGCAATTTATTGGTCACCTTAAACTAGAGTGGGACCACAAATGGATACATTGAGTACCTTAGTCTTTGTCATTACACCCATGTTAAACTGAAAGGAAAATTTTCTTATGCGTGAAAACCTATTTGCTAAGCCAATTGGTTTTTATGTGTTAGAAAAAATTTTTTTTCTGAATTTGACACCTTTTAGGCTGCATTTAGTCTGTTATTGTGCAATTTCTTGCCCCCGTCTCAAATTTATTTTACTGATCTCCATGAGGAAATTTTTTTTTTCTCAGAGGAGAAGAAGCCATCTGTGCAGGAGCTAAAAGAGGCAATTCGACGTGTGACCCTAAAGCGCCAGTTTACTCCAGTTTTTGTTGGATCAGCCTTGAAGAACAAGGGAGTTCAGCCCCTCCTAGATGGAGTCATTGACTACTTACCCAAGCCTCATGAAGTGGACAACTTTGCCTTCCTTCACAAGGAAGGGTAAGTCTTATTCAACAATGAAAAGGCAATATCCGAATGGCAGTTATAACTGGCTAGCACTCAGAGTTGAGATATGAGTCTTGAAGGCTCACTTTTGCTCTCATTTTACTTAGCAAGATGTTGGAAACTTGGAGATGCAAGTCAACATTAGTCTGTGAACTTCACATGTGATAGCCAAGGTTTAAGTCCAGTATGTAAGGTCCAGTATGTGTTCTTTCCAGTTTCCTTTTTTTTGTAGATTCTGAGCAGCCCATGGAAGCATGAACCTGATGATTTTAGAGCAATTCCTGATTATTATAATTTCACATCAGTTCCACATTTCATGGGATTCACAAGAGTTGTATTTGGCAGATATAAAGCCTACCCAAATTCATCTGATAAAATAGGCTAGTCAAATTGACCAATATACCATATGTCTGGAAAACGTTATACAGGGTCGCCATGAAGTCGTTCATCTTAGGCATATTACATTATTTGTCAAAATGCTTTCCTTCAAATTCCACACGCTTGCATAAACGCCATATCCCATTAGCCTGCACACAGAGAAGTGTAGCTTCATTCATATTCACAGATTCACAACACTCTGTTATGCATTCTTCAAGGTGCTGCATGTCTTGTATCTTAACTTTGTAAACTTTAGCTTTAATTTAACCCCAAAAGAAAAAATCCATTGGGATCAAGTCCAGTGATCATCGGGCCCATTCCCTTGGACCTCGTCTTCCAAACCAATGTTTGGGGAAATTCTCACCTAACCAATAATGCACTGCTGCAGCATGATGCAGAGGTGCTCCATCCTGCATAAACCACATTGGCAATCCCAAGCCAAGCAAGTACAGTTGTGGGATCAGCTGATCCCCAAGCATTTCAAGATCCATCTCATCAGTGACAGTTGTTGAAGAAGGGCCCTAGGCCTTGAGTAGGGGTGTATCGATGTATTGGCTACCACTGGTATTGGCCACCATTGTTACACTATGGCACTGGTACTGGTGCCAATGCTGGTGCCCAAAGGAGGGGTAAAGTGAAAAAAAAATGACACAAGGACATGGACACAGCTATGTGCCGGCCCTCCTGTCTCACTGAAAGCCAATCCTGCCAGCCTCTCCCAGACCAAAATATTGATTAGTTTATATTCCAGCCAGATTATAGGAACTGGTGGAGGAAAGTAGCAGTAAAGAAGGGGAAGTCCTAATTTTCATTTCCATTTACGTTATACTTTTGCAAGGGATGTGTCACAAAATGCTCTCAACAGCAGCAATATCTAACAAGCTAACCACTGACATCCTTGTAGAGAGACAGACAGGCAAGATAGGACCAAAAGTTACCTCTATCATTTCAAGGAGACCTACTGATAAGTATCACATGACTTCCAATTAGACCCATTTGAAATTATAGCTGATTTCATCTACAGGCAACAATTGGCACTGGCACTGGTTGATGGTTATGAGGAAAAAATCATCCATCGGTACAGCCCTGGACATGAGTGTTCCATAGGCCACACTATACCATCAGCATCGGTACAGTAAATTACCTGCAACAAAAAATTGTTACTACCATATGATACTTGACTTTATGGCCACCTTGCATTTTGGACTCTGTCTCAGAAACAGTGACACAGGATACAATATGCACACAGGTGGAACATTATAACCACAGAAGCTATGATGGACTGAGATACATGTTACAATACATGTGCCCTCCACATGGTGTCAATCGACTTGCGGGCAGTAATGTAAGTGAGAGACCATGTGCTCCATCACATAACAGCACCTGGCTGGAGTGATATCATGGATGGTGCTGATGATGGCAGCTTTCAACTGGACATTTGCAGACTTGGTGCAGTCACATTGTTTTTCAGAGTGCTCCATAACCAAAATTCCAGAGGCATTAGTCATGGTGACCTTGTTGGTCATTTGGCCAGGGGTCCACAGCAGCCAATGCAATGTTGGCTCAAATCTTAGCACTACCCTGTTGATTGTAGCCTACAATCAAGACACTGGTGTGTACTTAGCTTACAACTTCACCTCAGCGAACAGGTTGTGCCTGTGCAAGTGTTCTTGAGACTAAGTCCAAAATGTAACATATTTTCCAGACATATTGTACAGGGTATCCCATAAGTCCCTTTACCCCTGAACTTTTTTCTAGTAGAATAGGGTAGCAAAATGAAACTTATGCAATTAGTTATATATGTATTTTTTACATTTATTGTGACTTTAGTAACACTTGTTTGACAATGTAAAAGGGTTTTGGTTACTCATATCTTTTACCATCTTCACAAATCCTTATTCTAATTCACCTGAAAAAAAAAACATGAGGGTTAAGGGACTTATGGGACACCCTGTATATATTAAGTGGAAAAATGCTTTGCTGAAATGCTACATTTTTATAAGGTGGCCAACTTGGCGTTGTTCTAACTGTTGGTGACTGAGTAGAATAACCAATTCAGACCTATATATGAGATTGTAAAAACTCAAATTTAGAAGCTTAATCCATTTTCCAATGTAAATTGGATCCATACATCCCATATTATTGATAATGTTCTTTCCACCTATTGAGTTGCTGAGGCCTTCAGTTCACCTTGCACCATTTGATAAATCATCCCCTAACTGATAGTGTGACCATTGGGTCTTTTTTAGGGATGAGAATGAACGGCTGAGGATGAACCCAGAAAGGAGCAACCACAATCCCTTTGTGAGCCTTGCATTCAAGCTGGAAGCTGGCCGCTTTGGTCAATTGACATATGTACGAGTCTATCAGGGAATGTTGCGCAAGGGAGAAAGCATCTATAACACTCGCACCCATCAAAAGGTAGGGCCTCCTCGAAGTTACTTTTAAAAAGTGTGACCTTGAAGAATATGTCAACTTGCCTTTCATTATCATTAGTTTTTATTTGTTGCCATCGTTTTCTTTGGTGATGGGCAGTATTCTCCTGACAGGTGAAAAAGAAAACTGACACATCTCTAGGAACCACAGGCTGGCCATGTTTCAAACCTGTGCAATCTGAGATCATCTTGTAAATTCATCCCAATATTCAAAGTTACAATTCCACTACTTGTAGCTTTGCATGTAAAACCAAGCTAATAAAAGAAAATCATGCCTATTTGAGTCATGAAAGATGGAGAAGCATTTTATTTTAAAGGAAATTTTAGCTATTGCAGAATTATGTTACCTGGTGAATGGAGGACCTACTCCATTGAAAATTGAGAACAATTTAAGAGTGGTACTGATTCGCAATACCATATACTGTTAAAAAAAAATAATGTTAGTAGTACTTTGTTACTGTCAGCATTCATATTCTCATGCTTGTTCATTGGTGTAGCTTAATGCACCTCTTGTTCATGATAGTTTTTATTCATCTTTGTACTCATCCACCACTATGTACCTATTGTTTTTGGCTATCATGAAAAAGACTTAAGTCATTATGATTACATTTAATTTTCATTTTGAACCATGATAATAATATTATGGCCCTTTTGTGAATAAATGAGTTTTTGTTTGTGTGTAATCCAAAACTTTTCTACACCATATCTGCTTTAGCATTCTAATAGCAAAAAGTTGATGTAATCAGGGTTGAAAAAGGTCCAGCTTTTGCTCTGCCTGAAATTTTTAGCATGAGATGTGTTGTGAAGGCTCTGAAATTGGAACCTCTAGTCAGTTATTTCAGGTGCAGGTATCAATGCTCAATTTCTGAGATAGAGATGGATTGTCTGCAGGTGCGGGTGCCACGACTGGCACGGTTGCATGCAAATAATATGGAGGATGTGGAGGAGGTGTACAGTGGTGACATTTGTGCCCTTTTTGGTGTTGATTGTGCCAGTGGTGACACATTTGTCACTGACCCCAAGCTCCATCTCTCCATGGTCTGTTCCTTTTCTTCAACTCTCCCAAGTCCAGTAAAATGCAACTAGAAGGGATGGAATTTTGCCCAAGATTTCAGTGTTTCTTTTTCCATTCTCATCTGTTTGTAGTGCTTCTAGTATTTTTCTCTGCTCCATGTTTTAAGCCTGCTTGGATAATTTTAGAGATTACCTTCCAAATGCATTGTTTTCTATGAATATTACTTGATATGGTCTCATCTCTGCCATTGATGACCCTGTTGAGGATCTTTCAAGAATCATCATGTATTGTATGCTGAATTGAAGAAGACAAGAGCTTTTCAACAATATATAGTTCACAATGATTGGGAAAGAATTTGTGCAATGAGTAAGAAAATGATAGGCTCCATCCACTCAGGAAACTCTGGGAAACATTAAATATTTTTAAAATTGTGTACAATGTTTTTGCACTCTCACTAATATGTACAGTAGAGTCTTGATTATCCAAGCCTAAATATTATCTGAGGCAATATTTCCAAATTTGGAATAAAATTATTTCAAACATGAATTATGTAAAATGAATGTAATTTATGCATGCAATGTTATTCTGAGATTTTGATTATCTGAGGTGCTTTTAGTCCCATTTAGCTTGGAAAATTGAGACTCTACTACATTTCAAATACACATATTCCTCATTTCATATTGTTTTCTTGTGTCAGTATATAGTCTTACTTTTAATATCTTGTATGATCTCTGTTCATGTGAGAAATTCCATTCTACTTTAAATGAAAATGTAAGCTTGGATGTAGTGAGCAATTGTTACATTCCCATCTTGTTTCACAAAAGCTACAGAATCTCAATTATGACTATTTAAGAATAATCTGGGCTCATGAATTCCAATGATAGGGTAACTTGGGGGAATATGGCCCTTCACAATGAATCTCCTAATAGACTGAATAATTAGTTTTGGCAAATTTAAAAAATAGTTCTATCAAAGAGAACATGCAATTGTTGAAATGTTTAGACCTATTCATTGATCCAGTTCTCACAGGAATTCAGGATACATTGATGTTTTAAAAGTCATATGCATGCGATTTTTTAACTCATGACCCTGAAACTAATATGAGCCTTGAGCAACTTAAGCGTATATTTCCTAATAGCAGCATGGATACAGAAGCCATTTGTTCAAAGTTATTCTATTCTCCCTCCAGAATGCTTGTGGAAAGTGCTAGCCCCTAACTTGCAGTTTGAAGGCAGTGTTGTCAATTTTGTCACGCAAGCCAATATGGTGGAATATGGTCCTCTTGATTTGGGGTAATATGGACACATCCTTTATTTCATGGAAGCACAAGACTGACCTATTGGTAGTGTCAGCTTCCTGTCATGTGGGACATCAGGCAACAAAAGATCATCAAATGCACTTCTCCTCTGGATATATGGATAGATGTACTGGACATCCAGACGAAATATACTGTACATTAGGAGGTGATGCATGGAGATATGATCAAGCACTGCCTCCTAGACATCCACTTGACATACTCCAGAAATTTGAATGCAAGTAAATATCCCTCGTACAAAAAGTTAAAAAGGCATTCTGTGACTTTTCAGTGCTATTTATGCATACATGCAAAACTACACGTTTTTCCTGCAATGTCAGATCTCTTATTTCACACTCATAGCACATGTTCACTTTGATGTAAGGTTGATCACTCCTTTTACACCCACAGTCTCTAGATACAGTCTCCCAATTGCATGCAATGCTACTCAAAGCCCAAAACGTTGCAATCCTGCTTTCCATAACAGGTCCTTTCAGTCAGGTAATGATGTCGACTTCTGTGCTTGTCCTCAATGGAGTTAATGTGTTTCTTTTTCAACTGCTGAGCCTCCTTTATTATGTATCAAGGTACTCAGCATGTTCCAACACATTTCATACACATCTCAAAAACCTTGAGTTGTTTCTTGAGATGTGGCCATATTCCCCCAACAATAGGGGTAATATGGCCTCTTAGGATCAACTTGGAAATGATCCAAATGTGCAATATCTATGTGATCTTTTTCATGTGCCTTGCTGGGATTTAGTAAAGGAGATATCAATCAATATTTTAGAAACATTGTAAAAGTCAAAATTCGAACTTAAGAGGCCATTAAGACCAGGTTTCATTTTTTAAGGCCATATTCCTCAAATTATATTATGTCTTGTTGAGGTGGCTATTCATTTTATCTTCCTGCATTTATTTATTAGTGAATATCATTACTGAATTTTTTTTTTTTGTATGCATGCACATTTCTCCCAAAATAAGTGTATACTAGCACAGGCCCCTCTCTTTATATAAAGGCTGGCTTTTGTTCTCCTTGCTTGCTTGTTAATCCATTTCCACTGGCCCTTTGTGCAGGAGTCCATCTTTGTGCCAGATCCTGTGATCTCCATGTCCATCACTCCAAAGAAGGAAGCAGTGGAGCAGTTCAGCAAAGCCATTCATCGCTTCACCAAGGAAGATCCTACATTCCGTGTGGAATATGATCCTGACAGCAAAGAGCTCATTGCCAGTGGGATGGGGGAGCTGCACCTTGAGATCTATTCCCAGGTCTGATCATGAACAGTAAATGCATTTATTCTGTCTCCAGTGGACAACTTGAAATTACTTGGCTTGTTATGCAGCGGATGGAGAGGGAGTATAACTGCCCTGTGACGCTTGGAAAGCCAAAGGTTGCCTTCCGTGAGTCCCTGGCTGCCCCAGTTGAGTTTGATTTTTTGCACAAGAAGCAGTCAGGTGGAGCAGGGCAATTTGGCCGTGTCATTGGCATTCTTGAGGTAAGTCTTCTCAGCAAAATTCTCTTAATACTGTCTGCATGAACTGCATGTGGAACACTAAGGGAGCAAGCTTCACAGTTACAAGCCAGAAGATTTGGCTGAAAAAATGCAAATAGGTTGATTTGAACCCTCCTCTCCAACTGAACATGAGCTGACTAGAAACTGGAGGTCTTGAAAGGCTGATTAAGATGCTTAAAGTGAGCCCTCTCCATCAGATTCCAAGTCCTTGTAGGGTAAACATCCCAGTTTTTGGCTGCTAAGCCCCATTTGTGGCCACATTGATACGACTCCCATAAGAAGTGGACACCCTGTGTGTCAGCCAGATTAACTAATTATGCTGGATTTAAGCCTCACTGGCCAACAATTGGAGACTGGCCAGAAACCATGGAGCTTACCATGTGTGCCTGGTGTCCTTATATGATGCAGGATGCTATTGCAAGAGTAAATTCAAAGTTTGTTTTACTTAGTCCAGGTCTCTGAAAATTCCCCCTCACCTGTGTATGCTTGTAATCAGGCAAGTGAAAAGCATCTAAAGAAACACCCCACCTCGTGCAAGCTTCTACTTACTAGCCCCCTTCCATCATGCAAGTTTGCATCATCCATCTCTTGGTGCATCTGTACAGGAGCTGTATATTCAGGTGCAGGGAGAGCAGGTCAAGAAAACATGTCTGGCTGGTGAAAGTTAGGAAAAAATTTTTCAGGATCTGCTTTAATCTTATTGACCCATATTGGATCAAAACAAAGTCCAGAAATAGGATTGCCAAAGTTAAATCTCTAAAACTATCTTCTTCTCAGGGTGAATTTCTGTGTTTTTTTTATATCTTTCTTATTGATTCCAATAGCCACTTCCTCCAGAGAAGAACACAACGATAGAGTTCCAGGATGACACCGTTGGCACAAATGTGCCAAAACAATTTGTTCCTGCAATTGAGAAGGGGTTTCGCATGATGGCAGAAAAAGGTAGGGCCTGTCAATATTAATTAAATGCAAGATCTTCCCAATAATCTCTGAACATGAATTTGTCATGAAATTGATATGCAAATTTTGCAGGTCTATTGTCAGGACATAAGATCTCTGGAGTTCGGTTCCATCTTCTTGATGGAGCACATCACATTGTGGACTCAAATGAAATTGCATTCATCAGTGCTGCACAAGGGGCAGTCCGACAAGGTTTGTCATTTGACCCTAGGCACTTTCATTTATCAAAAGATCTTAAATTCACCCATTTGTGGCTCAACATATGACTAAAAACAGCACAAAGCAGTTAAATGTGGAATACAAATGATTCTTCCTCCTGCAGCATATGACTATGGAGCATGGCAGATTCTGGAGCCAATCATGTTTGTGGAAGTGACTGTGCCGGAGGAAAACCAAGGAACTGTGATTGGGAATTTAACTAAGCGCAGTGGGGTGATCACTGCGACTGAGGGAGCTGAAGGATGGGGCACAGTCTGTGCTGAGGTAAAAGAATCTTGGATTCCCCTGTTTTTCTCATATTCTACTATCTCACTGTGAAAGTGTGTTTTGTTTTGATAGGTCCCTCTGAATAAGATGTTTGGATTTGCAACTGAGTTGCGTTCAAGTACACAAGGGAAAGGGGAATTTTCCATGGAATACTCAAGATATGCCCCTGTGTCACCTGATGTTCAAGAGGAAGTTATTTCTCGATACCATGAAGCTCTGGGGGTTTCAGAGGAAAAGAAAAAGAAGAAGAATTGATGTCATCTGTATTGTTAGTTGTTTCCCTGAAAAAGTCTTGGAATGAAAGCTCTTTTATTGACAATGCTTTTTGCTTTGGGGTCTTTGACAAAGCCGTTTTACTTTAAAAAAAAAAAATTGTAACTAGGATTATTGGCAACAAATCAATATGGATAGTATGGTTTGGTTTGTGAGAAGAAATTTTTTTACCTGGACTGAAACTTCATTTTCACTCAAGAGAAAAGCATTCTCTTGGTACACCTGGGATTTTTCTGAAATTCTAATTTCATGTGAAATTTTTTAGTCCATTGTGCCCCAACAGTAGTTTCTTCTCAGCATATACTTGCAGAGCATGAATTTTTTATATTTGCTTTTGGGTCTTCTGCTACTCTGTAGGACAGGGCTGCTCAGATTCATCTGGCTCAAGGGTCACAGTGACACATGCACTGAAGACCGTACAGAGTGCACCAGAAGTAAGAAATTAGCTTAATTAGTTGTACTGCAAGAAGAAATTGAGAGAAAGAAGGAAGAATAATGGCATAAAATTAAAAGTTATTTCCCTCTCACTTTGGATTTATAGAAGTCATGAATTAGCTGACAGACCAGGCTAAGAAGACTTTTGCTAACCTGAGACCGAGGTTCGCGAGAGCAGAAGTGCAGATGCCGGAGCAGTGCCGGGAAAGGGAATGGGAAAAAAATTAACATTATGTTCAAGCAAAATGTTTGATTTAAAAAATATTTGTCGTAGGGTTTTGTGGAATTCAGGAGGATTTCGAATCTCCCTAGGGAGAGACAGGATTCCACTAAACCTGCGGGTTTAGCGGAATCCTCTCAAAGCCGTGTCAATGTCACTACACCCTAGGGAGATTCCATATCTCCCTGGCTTGAAAATTACCGTTCCCGCGGCTTGTCCCGCCGAGGGAAATTCTCCTTTCATTTGCGTTTATGGATTATTTAAGGCCGAAGAATACCGTGTTATAGTCTGTTCCCGACCAAAATTCTCGGATATGGAATCCCCCTAACACTTTTATTGTGGGTAGCCATAAAGTGATTAACTGGAATTGACACGAGATTTTTTTTGGGAAAGAACGCGCAGGGTTGTCAGATTCTGTTGGAATCCTCCCATGGCCGCCACGCAGGGCCGTAAATACCTCATGTGGCGCCCCGGGGCAGGGAGTCATGGACGCGCCCCCCCCCCCCTCCCTGGCATTTTCCCTGACTTGTACCTGCTAGTCCTCCAAGAACTAGTACCTGCGTATCCACGACTAAGTTTGCACGCCCTCCTTTTAAGTTAAGCAAAGCCAAGTTGGCTTTTTTAAAATTCAAGTATACGGAATAGTCATGAGCTCTTGAGTATCCCAAGAGTATTCATTGCCACGCTCGCGAGTCGCCTTCTATTATTGGGGTTCAGGAAAAAGCTACCTGGAAAAAAGACCCCCAGAATTGACAAAAGCTGAAAAAAGCCACCCGGGTGGTTGCTTCGTAATTATTAATTTCTCTATATTTATACATATCAGATAATTAAAGACATTCATTTGGCGATGTTGAGACACATTCACGCAGGGATGTGGCTCTTAATTATCCATGTTTTAAATATTTTAGGGTGAATTTCCATCAATTATTCAAGCAAAATATCACTGATTTTTCGTTTCCATTTAGAATAAAACGATGGAAGATGCAAAGCATCGCTCGATTGGAAGCACTTCCAATATATATAAATTTTATTTTCCTACTTTCATTATGAAGGGAAGGACTCTGTTCAGCTATGAACATTGACTCATCTCAATGCAATGCTTAAACAGACTTCGGGGAGGAGGGGATTGAGGAGGGGAGCTAATCCTGATCCTCTCCACTCCCTGGAAAAAGGTGTGAAAGTGGATAGGAGGGAGATAAAATATAAAAAAAAAACCTTACATGATCCCAGAGCAATTGTTATTTGAGAACAAATTCCAAGAAGCGTTCAGAGAGTGGAATCACCTCATCCTGCAACACGGCCACAATGAAAAGATTTCCTGCAAGGGGGGGGGAGGGGGTTGGCCATACTGTTCATTTTTAAGGGATGGGCTGAAGTTGGACTTGTTTTATTTTTCAGAACATTTCAATTAAGCAATTAAGTTGATCAAATTACATGACATCAATATCACTAAATGTCCCAAAAATGAATGTGTCTTTAATCTGACCCGAACATAACGGGATGACGCTTTTCTGCCTTTACCAAATCTAGGGGTCTTATTTCCGGGTGGCTTTTTCCCTAAACCCCTATATAATTTAGGAACAGCTTTCCTTGCGTTGCGAAACGCAAAGACGTCAATGACATGATCAAAATGCACTTTCTTTGCCGCTTGATTTTATTTTCACTGCGCAACACTTTTCTGTGCCTCATTCGCCTTTCGCTTGCTTCGCCCCCCTCCCTTCTCGGCGCCCCCTTCCTTAGGTGGCGCCCGGGGCGAGTTTGTTTGCCCGAAGGGCAAACAAATACGCTAGTAAACAATAACGATGCACATACTGTACAGGGTGTAAAAAAAGTTTACGTTAAAATGATGAGTTTTTCTGTAATTGCATTCAACTTAAATTGTGGCATTTTATGCCAGTTAGGAAGAGTAAGCCTAATGCATAAAACTA